CCCATAAGTAAGTCTATTTTTCATATCACACATATACACATAGTACCTATGGGCACATCTAACTTAGATACATATCTATAATTGTCTAACCTAACATTTATTGATATGTAACTTTGATGTGCCCATAGGTGCTACCAATATCTATATAGCAGGTATTGATAGATAGAGTAGTCAACACTAAAAGAAGTAGGGAATGACCTACTACTTAGGTGACCTAAATAATATCTTGATGTGGAATACTTTACCAATCGGTGACTCTACCAATCGGATTGTACATTAGTAGACTAATGATAATATTTGTATAGTACAGTTATGCCTGAGTGACAATTGTCATTTATGGCAATTAGTGGCAAGTAAATTAATTATATAGTTAGTATATACAAAATAATGCTATATAACGTAAATATTAAAACTTAAAAAATCAATCTCTTACTTTTATAACATTTCCATTACGAAGTAGTTCAGTAATCCGTATACTTTTCAATACCTAAATAAAAACAGTTCTTTATATAAACCATAAGGAACTGATTTTATTTAGTTATCTGATAATTTATTGTGGCAAACACCTTGTAGGAACCTGTTTGGTAGACTGTACAATATAACAAATGAGTTGGGCTGCGTCCGAGTCGATGTGGTGTGGGTGTGGCAGCTGCGGGGCGGGACGAGCGGGGAGACCGCCCTAAACAAAATGGCAGCTACATGCGCGCCAAATTTTGAATTTCAATATTAATAATATGTTTTTATTTATATTAATAATGGTAATAATAATATACCTAATATACGCTATAGTGTAGTAATTATTAAAATGATATATAAAATACAAAACTCCGTATGTAAGATAAGTGATCCAAAATATTAATTAAGTAACGAATTAAAAATTATAGTTTTTAAATTAGTTTGATTTAATGAAATATTAACAAAGATTTTAGACGTACCTAATCCTAATTAAATTAGGTACAGTCAATATAAAGTTATCTATGGTGTGTCTGTGTCAAATTCTTTTCTCACAATTACGTTGGTATTTATGTAGAGTACAGTAGGAAAGTACTTACATTTTATAAGTTTAACATACTCAAGGAAGACTTTTTAATTTCATGTTGACTAACAACATAAACACTTTCTTTCTGTTACTGTTACTACTATCACCTATGATCTACTAACATTTAAAACTTTCTGCTGCTTTGGACTACTTAGGTACTAATAGTTATCAATTTTCTTAATCCTTTCTTTGTGCTGATAAAACTTACCTAAATACCTAGTGGATTCTTATTCTATACGTTTTCCATTTAGATTCCTATTGATTTTAATCAATGGTATATATTGTAAATGATATCAGTAGGTAACTATAATCTAGTAATTATTTTCATTTATACCTAACCTAATCAATAAATTACCAATAACATACTATAGGTATCTAATTATACCATCATGCAAAGACTTGCCACTTCACACGAGCTATAAACAAATCGTTATAGCAATTTAAGGACCCATTTAAAAGCTATAAATGAAAATACACACGGAAATCTGTACCCAATGGCGTTTACAATAGAGTCTAACTTCACACGAGTATAGCGGGCGCCTTAACACTCATAAACTATTTTCAGTATCAGCTAAATGAAGAGACGACGCACCTATCTCTCTCCCATATACCTTAATAATACTAAGCGCGAAAAGGACAGATGATTTAAAAGGTGTTTATATCGATACAGCGGCGTTGATTTAACCATTGCTTTGCTTTATGGCAGTCAATAAAATTGAACGTTATGAGGCAAGGTCGCGAATGAAAAATTGTTTGTGAATGATGTCTTTATCTGTGGACATTTGACTTAAGTGGTGTTTGGGGACAATATGGTTTTATGGTCATAACACAAGTTTAATGACGTATCATGATTTATAGATAGCAGATATACCTATAGACCTATTACTTTTTTATGTATGAATGTAGAATGGTGCAACCGCCTGCGTTACGTATATTACGCACACAGCGCTCTAGTGTAGGATCATAGAATGAGAATATGTCAGGTCAGTTAGCCTATTGAGGCAAATTATCCACTGACGAATTGATGACGAATGTTCAATATGGTTGAAAATATAGACATAGGTTGCGAGATGAGCTAGGTCAGTAGATATGAAGTGCAAGTTATTTAGATATATTTAGAAGAGTAAGAAATAAATAATATATTTTACAGCTTATCTATACTAAAATATGAAATGAATTTTTCTAACACAGTATAATAATATGCGATATATCTATGTATCATAATTCAAAATATGTCACTGCTTATTAGTGGACTGACAAATTCTAAGTAGGTACTACTTGAAATGGAGGCTAATCATTGCTAGAACATTTCAATAATAGCAGAGGAACTGGGAGTTTCTTGATAGACGGTAAATTAAGTCAGTAAAAAGGAATAAAGATGAAATCCGGCTCAGTTGTGACTTTAAGAAAAATTTCTTGTGAACACCAAACTATTCAAGTCATTATTTTGATACAACATCTATATGAACACTAGAAAATAGTGTCGCAGTAGAGATCGAAAATTGGCTAACAAAGGCTGGCTCAAATAAGTGCACTGGAATAGATATGACATTGGGCTCAGTATTAGGTACGGGACAGACCTTGCCAATCACAATGCAACAGTGCTCTATATAGACTTGAGCATGCTCTTTGTTGGTACACTAAGAATGAAGAAAATTATTTTGAAATAAGATTAATGAAAATGGAAATTTTAAAATATGAATCATAAAAAAAAATTGTGTATTATAAATACAAGATTATTAACAACAACAATATACACATACCTACATACTGTATTAAATACGAAGACTACTGTAGAACAATGTTTAGTTTTGAAACATATCTTCACACTACCACAGAGTATATTTTCAAATATTATTTATACCTTAGAGGATCATATGAATCCCGGAATAAGTGACGAGAGTACCTATTAAAAATCTCTTTAAATTGAATGATAATAAAACCTACAAAGAATATATTAAACGGCTATTAATCTATAATATTTTTTTTACTGACTCTAAATTGTTTTAAATTATATAGCTATGTAAAATAATGGCGATAATTATATCTATGCTATCTCTACGTACAAAAATACAGGGAAGGGATGAGATTCATCATAGATATTTACGATTTGTTCTAATCAGTTTAAACGTGATGCAGTATGATTACAAATACTTCACAGATATATTTTTAAATAAAGTTGCTAGCAAGTGGGATAAAATGTTATACAAAAATGTACATGCACAGACTTTTTATAGATAAATTAAGAACAAAAAATAATGAAAGCACAAGATAATTATCATCGAAAATATTAATACGTATAAATAATAAAAAACAAGCACCTCTAATATGTTACTACATATTATATAGATATGGTATATATAGATATGGTATACAGAGTAAGAAAACGAAAGAAGAAACATTTATAAGGTATTTCATTGTCAGCATATATTGAAAGTTTAATTCGGCAGTTTAATAAAGCATCCAGCTTTTATTGGTGTCTATGATATTCTTGTACACAGGTAATACTTGTGTCAAGTAAAAATTACATACAGTATCTGTCAAACTATATTAAAAAAACATCTATCTACTCGTGTGACCTACCAACCCACTACTGACTAGAGTCAACGTCCTTATATTAGTAAAAACAAAGATAATATGTAATCTATTTATAAGTATGGTATACATTGTATGTCTATATTGCTAAAATTGACCTTTGTAACACGTGGCCGTTATCTTGCCTCGACCATGAACTCAATCTGAACAAGTGCAATGCCACATTGAAAGGGGACAATAAATAACACTTATCGTGCGCTTGCGACGTTTAAAGACCAATACAACGTGACCTCTATTAACGTATTCCTAACAAATATTAATAGACCAAGATATAATGAACGTTGAATTAAAGAAATTGAACTGTTTGTATGCCAATGATGCCATTTCTCGTGTAGACATCAGTACGATAAAATAAAGTAGGTACGAAAGTATGCAAAATAAAGTCTATCACAATCTTTACAGATACATTGTTCCTCAACAATAATTTATTTATTACAGTTTATATATGTAATTATCTACCTGCGAATATACCTGCTAACAGCGGATCTAATTGACACATGACAAAAAACCTATCGTCCTTGTAGAAATAGGATGAAATATTACAAACCACTTCCGCAGTGTAGAACACCAAACAGACAAATATCGGGCAATTTAGAACTGCAAAACCATAATTGCCACAATTTCAAACTTGTCAAAAACGCATTAGTTCGTGCTACGGGGAGTAATGTTTTGCCTTCAGCGTTCATTGGATGCGAGGCATTATTAAAAAGGCATTAGCGTCGGCCACACCTAGTCTTATAAATAACGCGTTCGTGTTGAAACAGAAAAAAAGTAATTCGGAGATTTGCCGCGGGAGGGCGCACCAATCGGTCGTGACTGACACGGAAGGAACCGGGCCCCTATCACGCAAATCATTATTTTGTCGTTAGGGAACGTATTATAATGTCGGTATCTCGGCCCACGATCGTGGAAAGCAGTTCTATACTCTGTATACAGAACATTTCAGACAATAAAGGATTGGAACTAAATGAAGTTATAATATTCATTGCCTGCGTATAAAGACATGCCTTAAATAATTTTGAATCTAGTTTGATTGAACTTTGGCTAATTGGAAACATTATGTAGAATATGCAACCAAATCTGTATTGATTGATTGATATTCTACTATGAAATCCATAAAATATAGCAATAAGTATAATTTGGAGACTAATTCTTCTGCTAACTTAAGTAAAGTAACCACACTTTAATATTTCTTTAGATTAGATTTAAATTTCTATGTATGAATTATTCTATAATCTTTGTGTTTGTCTAATATAATATTTTCTTATAAGATTTCATCGTAAATAGTAAAATAAAAAGGTGATTTAAATATTTTTCCTTAAATACTATGTAATTTAGAATCAACTAACGTAACATAGGATAGCAATATCGTCAAATGAAATATCTGAATACAATCATTATGCTTTATTAATTTCATGTATTTATATATTTATGACAATATCGTCTCGCCTAACCTTAATAAGTTACTAATTATAGTTATATTTCATAAATTTTGAATCGATAGGACATAAATGGTAAATAATATCCATCAAATTAGGTTCCCACTTCACTCTACAGTTCTAATTTTTTAAAGTTTCGGGACAGTTGGAGGTTTACTTAAACAAAACTAAATTTGAACTTCGTTAAGCCTAATACCAAAATTTTACAAATCAATTAAAAGTCGAGATTTCTATCTGGCAAGGGATATTGAAGAATGCGATTTTTGTTAAGATTGCACATGATTTATCAACAAAATATAATATAATCTATGTCACCGCTGTAAATATCATTACCAATACATTTCATAGTATAAATGTTACATATTAAAAAACAATTCTTATTGCTAGAAATAAATTTACAACATAAATGTTTGAGCAATTCAAATGATAATGATAAAAATACATCCCAGCCAGACAGTAATCGAGTACCAAATATACTCGATTAGTATAAAAATGAAGTACTCGAAAGCGAACCTAATTAAGCAAATCAATAAATAAATATTGAATAATATTGACAATATACAATTATTACAATTTACATTCACTTAACGAACACAGCACAAAATAAAATAAAACATATTTATATAAACTGAAGCCGGCTCACTGAGTTCTTAGTAAACATTCGCTAATTACATTCTATGTGAAAAAAAAAGTAATAATTTACAAATAGTTTACATCAATACGAAAACGTATAACGCGAATCCTGACGAAAGTTCAACCTTCTTAATTTCTCCCGCACCTTTTTTTTAATTTCGTAAAACTATTGTGTTACGAGTAAAATATAAATGTTCTATAATTTTACGTATATCGGTTTCCATAGGCAATGATTTTATAAAAATACCTTCCAATAAATCGAAGTGGTAAAACAGAAACAATCAGCCACATAGACTAGCTGATCGTTACCGAATAAAGGTTCATCGTTACTACGTGAACATTGAACAACCGGCAATTATTTTCTAACTTTGGTATACTGTGTACCTACTTTACACATCCGTAAGAATCAAATAATATCTCTACCTGCAACCTACAAGTTTGAAGGTAACCTTTGTTCCGTTATTATTAACATCATTAAATTCATATCCAGTGTCTCAATCCGAGCTGTCTTTTACATTATTTTCACCTCACTGAATGGCACAACATTCATTTTGTCATTGTAATAGAAGTTATCAAAGAATAATCAATATCTCAAATATGTATTTTCTAAATTATAGTTTTCATTCTCGTAACATTTTACAATTATAATAAATTTCCTATGACATTATTATCAGTATTAATTACGTATATGTGTCATCAAAAATCGTATACATTGCACTTGTATAACTGGCCTTTCCATACTACAATTATATTGAACCAAAAGTGAAAATCAGAGAAGATCCACAAAACAAACACTCGTACCCAGAACACGAAACTTATCGTTGTTTCACAAATTAATCTCAAATATAATTATTCACACTAAAACAATTGTACATTATAAGTTCTAAAAATTATCATGTAGGTATGTATGTACAGAATAGTATCTCGATAGCTTAATTAGAAATAAAACATCAAATATATTAAATAATAACAATATGGATACTAATTGCCTTCTTATCAATGGTTAATTATAAGAGGTCCTTATGGTTTTGTGATTCAAAATTATAAGTATAAGGAAGTATATTTATTTTAATTTCTTTACAAAGTGCTTAACACCGAATCAACCTTATATCAAAGAAACAGTAACAAAGTATATCGAAATAAATTAAATTAAATATTTAATGTATTGACAAAACTATCTATGACATGAAACAAATATTTACATCAAGCACTTTGTCAAAAAATTTCTAATTAATAGTAACCGATTGCGAATGATTGAGTTATTCCAAAATAATCGTTATCCAGCTATATAATCACATAAATGTCGATGCAGTTTACTAATAATTATATACTGCGTTTTTGGTAATTATTGGTATTGAGATTGTTCTATAAATTAATTTATACTTAACAACTGTAAAAATCTCCGTCACACTATCATTATTCTTTATCCCAAATCACTAGGTTACGTATTAGTTTATAATGTAATATTATTATGAAAAGTCCAACATACAATTTATACAAATGAAACTGTTCTAGTGGTCTCGGATCGACAGTTCCAGATTCACCGTAATTACGTGGACGCGTTACGCCGAATCATCCATCGAACGCAAGTCAACGATACACGAAAACTAAATGGACACGGAAACCAATTTCCTTGTAATCTGAAACGAAAAGATCCTTTGTTTGGACCGCGAACTAAACTAGAGGCCTTTATTGTGGCGAGGTGGGCGGGCTCATATTATCAGGCTCGTCTCCAGACCCTGGTTCGCCTTTGGTCTTATTTTCTTTCTTCCACTTCATGCGCCTGTTTTGGAACCAGATCTTGATCTGGCGCTCGGTGAGACAGAGCGCGTGCGCGATCTCGATTCGTCTCCTCCGTGTCAGGTACCGGTTGAAGTGGAACTCCTTCTCCAGCTCCAGCGTCTGGTACCGGGTGTACGTTTGTCGTCCCCGCTTCCTCTCTGAAATCGGAATAAGAGACCATATTAATACAAGTCTGAGTTTAAAAAATGTTTAATTGCACGGGCCAGCCCTGTACGTCGGACGTTAAAACTGCATAGGCATTTCTGATAAATGGTGGTTATTTGTAAACGGCGAACACTCCGACGGAGTTAATTGAAAATTGTTTTGAGCTTATCAATTTGTTAATTGTTTTTGCTTGTTGGGTATTTCTCTCGGCTGTCGAGTCGGGAGTTGCAAAGTTTATTGAAAGCACAGCAAAAGTCGACAACGATAATATTCAGCCATGGTTTTCTGGTATGTTATTAATTCACTCGACCTCCGAAGAAAAGTAATATAACTTGTAAAATAAACTACCTAATCAACTACTGTGCTACGTAATTATCTTGATATTTCATAGTATATATATTGTGACAATTAACTAAGTATCTATCTCATAAATTAGAGTATCCTGTATATGTAAGTAAAATTATAATAACACATTGAAATATGTTCCATATTATATACTATACTTTTAATTTTGATGATAGATTAGATTATTCTTGGTATTCACACATGTAAAAATATTTACACACACGTACAAACAAGATTCCGTATGCAAAAGGGCACGAATTTATATATAGAGTTTACATGTGTGTTTTATGACGGTTATGATTGTGTGCGTCTGTCGGTAAGACGAAGTCCGTAGCTACCGAAGTCAATTAAAATAATTTAAGACGCCGCGGGCCTTTTTTCATTTTGTAATCATTATTCTTCGAAGAAGATGCGAAGCCTATTATACACGGTTTAGAAGATGGCCTGAACTGTAATTTATTAGAATTAAAAAAAGACCAATTTTAAGCTGAAGTCGCGTCGCTTATTACTAAGACTTGATGCCAGTATATTAATCGATCATTACAAGATTTTCGCTCAGACAAATGCACAATGCAAATCTTTGTAAATGATGATCATTTGAATTAGTGGATCTACATGACAGTTATTTAATAATTAAATTGAAACTGATAAAATATTGTGAATGTTTTGTACAAATTGCTTCTTTAAATTTGAAAATAAATAGCTAAGTTTTTTTTACTAATAGAGAAGACAAATAATTTGTTATTATGTATACTTCATCTGTATTAATAAACAAATGAATGAAAAATGTATAAATCGATCACACAGCGCCATATATTTTTAGACAAGCATAACTTGCACTATAATTAACAGACAAATATGTTTCCTTTATTATTATTGTTTATTTAATATAAGCAAATATACGAATACAAATGTATTTTTTTTATGGATGATAATGGAATGGTTCACCCGCCTGCGCGAACGTTTTGTATTATGAGGCGATTGAAGCGGTGACCTCTATTGTAAACCTCAATATCATTATGGCATCACTAATCATTAGAATTGACAATTGGGACTAAAAATAATGACAATAATGTATAATTAAACTCTGAACTTGTCTTGATATTTATAGATCGTAAAATTAATTCATCACGAGATTTAAATTTACTGCTTTAAATATAACTATGATCTTTTCTGAGGTCATGGGATTGACTATTCTATTATTATATGTAAAATAAAAAAAGGCTATTTCATGTTTTATTAACCATAAAACACAAAAGCGACTAAAACACACGATACAGTAATTTTTGTAAAAATAATGACAGATTTAAAACACCGAATCAAAATATCACAAGAACTAAGTTGTACAAAAAACAAAGTCATATTAAAAGACTAGTAAATAATGCAAACAGAAATGAAACTTTCGCAAGTAACAATACCAAAGTTACTTGATTATTTTCAACTGAATCACGCAAAACGACTTGCTATACAAGATAAACACGCGAACTTCGTAGAATCGGAACACGAAGGGGATTACATTGCAAATAATCCTGTACAACCCACTGATTCCATTTCCAAGAAAACAATGTTTATTGTAAAAAATGAAGTGACGACAAGTGGAGTATTTTGTAAATGTCATTTACACACATGATGTATCATTAACCACTTAAAATGTATAATGATGTTGATAAATCATAAAAAGAAAAAATCATTCATGATACGATAAAAGCACTAATCTAGTTTATAAATTGAGCAACGGTTACTAAATCCGATATTAATGGATGGCAAATATCTCAATTCATCAATTGCAAATATTATTTATCAATACATTTATTCTGATTATCTTAAAGTTTAAAATATTCATGATCATAAAAAATAGACTTTGTAATACCAAAGGTATTTAATAAGCATTAGATACCAGTACAAACACAGTACTAGAATTTGAATGGTATTTCCGTATTCGACTGTAAGACTAGTACAGCGGCTGCAACAGATTCAAAATTATCGCCCACTTGTTGCACGGGAAATTGATAACAACCTCATCGTCCACTCGCTTTTGGGACGCATTCAAGAATTCCATTATTCTATGAGGATTGCAAGTGTATCTAGCAATACCTTGTAAATATATTCTCTCCATATATTTAGATGTTATAGATTTTTTTTTAATTATACAAAACAGAAACATCCTATTGTTCAGTGTTACTTTGTACAAAGTCATATGTGTAGGTGCCTCTGTCTTATTCATTTATGCTGTCAAACCTAGCATGCTTTGTAGGCTATTAAAGTTGAGATCGAATAGTGAAATTAGGTGGTACTGAATCTTGTTATCCAAGTCCTCATCAATGGCAACGCATGAATAATTTTATGTTGATCATGATGTTCTTCATGTCTTCGATTACCGGTTTCATCAGAAGAAAATTCCCCACTAGTTAGCCATTTCAATATTGTAAATTTTAAAAATAGGGAAGTATTTATTAGTAACGGGAATAGTGGTTCATTGTTGGCAATGTACCATGCTATGTTGACACCACGCAGTCTACCTGGAAACCTATCCTGGAAACCATCATAGTTATTGCCTGGTGAATTCATCATGATTAGTGAATGAGAGAGACCAGACTGTATCTTCATGATCACCCTATCATCTTTCCCTGCCAGCATATACCGTTAACACAGACGGGTGCACCATTCCATTAACACCCATTAAAGAAAATAAAGTGAAAAGAAATTTGTATCCACTTATGAAAATGAAAGCTATTACTTATTATAATAACACCATGACATAGTACTAAGATTTGGTAGCTATTAAAGCTGTAATTTTAATAGTAAAGTTCCATCACATATATCTTATAAGAAGGCAAGAGTTCCAAAACAAAGTCACAGCGGCATCTCATGAAATCCCCTTCTATGCTATTACACTCGCGTATAGTTATATTAAGCAGCGGTTTCATCGCGCACTAGGATGCATAAAACATGATCCCGACGTCAGATTTAAACCATATGTAATAAGAGTATTTAAGTGGACAACACTGGAAGGCGGGCAGCACGCTCGTTTATGTTATACGTGGAATAAAGAAGTTTATTAATTTCAAGCAACTAATTCAAAATGGTCTGTACAATTTAATTAATTAAGCATGGTGCCAATATTTGCTATTTTTTAATCCACTTTAGTAAATGGAGATCTTAAATATAATTTACGCACATTTTTTAGTGTTAAAAATATACCTACTGTAGAATTGAGGATAGAGAATGAAGGACTCCAATGAGTCGATTTGAAAATGAAGTTGCATTTTCACCACAATTGTTAACACTAGTTTATTTTACTTAATTACTACGTATTCCTAGTATAGCATTACTTTATGTTACATAGTAGAAATATGACATTGTGTCATATATCATATTATTATTCAATTCAGATAATGGAAATTGTTGTAGTATATTAAGAAGACAAGATAGACTTTTGAAAAACGTCAGTGCCTTTAAAAAAAAGAAGTTTGACATAATATTTTATTACTGAAAAGGAACTAATAGTTACTAACAACTTAATTAACAAATCTAAGTATATCTGTAAAATGCATTCTAACCGCTCGTCTGCACCAACCCGACGAAATCGCAGCTTTAGCAACGGCGGGCGCAGCGCTGCATGTGTCGTTGGGGCACATAAATCATACCCGGCCGGGGGGACTTACAAAATCGGGGTCCCGGCTTACTTTCACGACACGACACTAGTGCGGACAAGCACGCGTAATGTGCAACTTGTAACGTACTTACAAGGGTGACCAATTCTTATAAAACCAAATTCTATACTTCCATATTAGGTACTGACCGTTAGCTGACCTATAAAAAATATGTTATTATATTTTATCGAAATAAGAACAAGAAACCAGGGCAACCTTTATCATCGTATCGGAATATTCATTACATTCTTACCTATTGTCAATGTTTGTATATTTACTACTTTCCATCATTTTGTATAAGTACCTACTATTAAAACACATATTTATATTGAAAATAACGTTATAAATACGCTACTATTATGTTTATGGGCTATTATATATGTGTGTACTTTAATTATACATTCTAATAAGTGCGGACTATATATACACTAGAGAAATCCTGTTAGAAGGAGTGAAATTATAGGGTACATAGGTACGACACAGTAGTTCTCAGGAATGATAATTTTTGACTGGTACTCATCACAACAAATAGATTATGAAATACTTACCACGGTGTTAATGTCATAATGCATTTTATGATTTCCATGGTATTTATCTATGTATTTAGTCGACGGTTAGCACTTACCATTATGTGTAACATTAGCTGATTTGCCACTTAGGCCACAGATAACATAAAAAAATAATAAATGCAATTTAGATTTACAGTTAATATTTCAAATACAAGAAGTGCGGTTCTAATCTGGACAAGAGTAAAGGTCGAGTTACATTTATCTGGATAAAGTGCGTGCTAAAATATTGAGTGAGCTCCGCGCGACCATCTCGGATCGCATTTGTACTGATTACACACAAGATAGCATTGTATAAGTTGTTGGTTTGTGCTTGAAATCGTATCTATGCATACGATATTGATTGTTGATCTTTTCGAAGCTGTTATTATGTTCATTTTGCTTTTCGGTGGACGCGATATTTTATACTCGATTATACGATAATCGATA